GAAGAGCAACGTGGAGAGCACAGACGACAGCATGGTCATCAGCAACAGTATACGTTATTTGAAGGTAATAACTGCACTTCAGCTAATGTGCTGCAATACAAAAGATAGGATATATGAAAGCAAGATACAAAAGATTACAGAATTACTATAAAACCGTAGACTTAATGTGATGCTTTGTATCATAGTAAACATCACGTCTGCGAACCTGCTTGGAAGGTGGAGATGAGCGGAAGGAGGAGGGACGAAGAGACTCGAAAATACATACGTCATTGGGGCCGGCTCTTCGCCATGTCGACCAGTGTTCCAACCAAATGTGTTCATTGTCTTCCATACCCAGCCCAGTAGTCGGTAGACACCAGCCGACGCCAAGACCGAAGTGAGTGTCTTCATACCTCTTGATCAATTCGTTGCTTGGCCTCCCATCCACATCCCTTGTGCGCAAACCACGCACGTGGCCCAACCATCGGAGCCTGGTGCGTGATGTAACTACGCTGTGTGGTTCACGCGCTATTAAGGCACAAAATACACGACGCCGAACACGCTCGTTGCTCATGCGGTGCTCCCATCAGACATGGGCTAAGCTACGGAGGCAGCGATGATCGAACTTGGCCAGCCTCTTTATGTCTGTCGACCTGATGGGCCAGGTTTCACAACCGTATAAGAGGGTTGAACGGACGGTTGCATTGTAATCTGTACCCGTCATGGTGAGTGATGTCGCGTTTGCGCCACAGGTGGCGGAGATTGGCAAATGCACCTCGGGCTTTTGCCATACGGTTTGTGGCCTCATCTTCTTTTAACTAAGCGCTAACGTAGCCAGACACTTAAATTTCTTGACATTTTCTAGCTGATCACCACCAAGGTTCAGCGTAGATTTGGGTCCCTACCAATTTTGGAAGAGGACTATTTAGATCGGGCTTACGAAGAACAGCACGAAGTGACTGAAAGTCAATGCCAATTTGTGTGTTGCAGCTTTGCATGTTTATGAGTGGTCTATGTCATCATACACCAGGTTAAAATGTCGGTCACTAAGATGCAATTCCACTTCTTCTAAGTCGGGTTCAGTGAACTCAATTTCCAAGACTTCATCAGTGACCAAGTAAAATAAGAACGGTTACAGCGGGTAACCTTGTCTCACACCGTCGGAGATATTGTAGGGCGGCGACCGTTTGCCGTAAGCCCTCACTCTGCCCGAAAAATATGCGTACAGCGATCTGACATTGTGTACATATTTCTTGGGCAATCCTGAAGGGCACACCGATCAACCAAATCGAATGCGCATTTTGATGTCGAGGAACACAAATCCGGTGACTCTCCGATAAATACTGCGGTGTTCCAATAATTGGCGTAGTGTAAAGATGTGGTCAATACAGCCTCGATTCCGGTGAAATCCGTCTTATTCCCAGCGCGTCTGACTTTAACGTGTGCCAGTCAGTCTATGGAGCACGACGGAAGTAAGCAACCTTAAAGACAATTGTAGTCAAACTGATACCTCTGTGGTTGTCTCCCTCCGAATATGAGACTTCCTAAACAATTAGAACTATAAAAGAACGGTTATAATCTGCTAGGATAGTCTACTGCTCCTGCAGCATCACAAGTAAGTTGTGCAATCCATCTACTGGAGTAGGTCACCAGAATTTGAAGAGAACTGAAAATAGTCCAACTGCTCCTGCGGTTTTATTCAATTTCAACGCTCTGATCTCACATTCGACTTCTGCGCGTTAGGGCGCATGCAAGGGGACAGCACAGACCGAAAGGCAATTAATGGCCGATGGAGAAGCGGGCAACTCTGACTGAATGGCTACACAAAGCGATTCATGGACAAACATAGCCAAGTTAGACCGCCCAAGGAGATGGTGTTGACAGCCCCTAAGAAGAAGGTTTACATTGAGCTACCATTCAAGAGTGACACCGCAGCGAGAAGGATAACCAAACGCATTGTCTCGGCCATTCAGCGTACATACTGTGCTGCGGAGGCGGTAATAATCAACAGAACCCGAAAGATGCCGTTACCTTCAGTAAAGGAAGATGAAGCCGTCGGCGTCAAATCACATTGTGTCTACCAATTCGTGTGTGACTGCGGTATCAGTTACATCGGCAGGACCGAACGGGTTTTAGATTCCAGAGTGAAGGAACGCTTACCAAACTGGGTTCAGCGCGAAGTTACTCAATCCACCTCCGATGATACGTGCTCACGTAAGCCGCCAGCGTCCTCCATAGGCAGGCACATCTTGGCGACTCGTCACCGGGTTAATCCCTTATCAGCGTTCCGGATCTTGTTACGTCATACCAATGCATGCCTTTTACCATTTGCCGAGGCCGTCGCGACAAGCCGAATTAGACCAGCTTTGTGTGTCCAAAAGCAATTAGTTGTCAACCTGCGGTTGCAGTGGAACTAATCCCATCAACAATGACCACAACCATAAATTTGATCGGCTTGACTGTGCCCTGTAAGACATATAAAAGGATTTCTCTGTTATTGTATTGGTACTGATGAGATAATACGAAATGCTAGCATCTGCCAATATTCGTTTTCTCATTTCGTTGTTCAAGCTACTGAAGGGGACTAACAGTTTTAAACTCTGACTGAATAAATTGCTTCTCAAAACATTCGATCCAACGCGTCAAGTGGTTTGACAATCTATGTGTTGGCTGTCCACTTTCCTCGCACGTGGTCTCGATAACACAAAATATTCTGCTGCTGGTCTTCCTATCAAACAAAATGACTTACGATGGCTACCGAGGATTGCTACCACTTCTATCTCTGACAAAATATGAGGCCACCATACTTCGCGGTCTCTCATCAGGCTAGCACGTAGTTTCATCCAGAGCTTGTTACGAGTCTCATCGTGTTCGCTCTCAGCTGGAAAGCATCAATGTGCATCCAATAGTTGCAGACGATAGCAACGTAACGAGAACCAATGTTGCTTACTACGCTCATTTTTTCCGGCATGCATTGATATTTTATGAGTGCGTGTGTGTGCGTGTGTGTATGTGCGGGTATGTGTATGCAGCAACTGCAAGCGATGCAGCATGTGCTACTCATGGTGTTGCTTTAAGAGCCGATATCAGGTGAATTTGGGATTGGATTTTGTCAGCCGTGTGCACACCAGTAGTGGCCATTTCTCGGCCGTATTCAGAAAGCTGTCGCAGCCACACTGCTCACCTGCCACACACCAAGTTCACCTCAAGATTTTTAGGGTACAGCCCAACTTTTCGCCTAATCATTTTACAACATCCATCGTAGCAGTTTTTCAAATTATATCACTCCTCCTATCACTTGCGGTTTATATTTCATGGGCTACGCGCTTTATTCTCTTAACGCATCATTTGTTTACCATAACCGTCAACTATTTCCGAGAACTGGCTGACTAACCATCATCGCTTTCAAACATGTGGGGTCGCAGAATGTCGTAAGATGTCGTCGCATTTACCGACACTTCAAGTTACGTTAAAGAATGCGGTTCACAGTTATGGACGAGACTAGTTTGACAGCGTATAGTGTAAAGCTGGAGGAGAAATATTGCAAACATCATTCCAATTTGTTGCTAACTACTCTGTGAACGCTACAATAGGATCACGCATTGTTCTAGCGAATGCCGCGTCGTTTTTTTTCTCAGCCTGGCTAGCTGCTTTTAATCACTCCAGCTTTGCTTTCTCTCCTAGAGAATTTTATCTCGGATTGACTGGGATCATCTGCATCATACAGCCAGTTTAGAGTAGATAAAATAATAGTTTATTTATCGGATGAGGGTCATGATTTGTACACAAAAGTAGTGTTATAGTTTGCTGGCCTTAACATGGGACAAATTTCAGATCAAGAATTTTCCCACAGATCAACAACCCGATCACCCACAACGTATTTACAAAGTAAAAATGTTTGTAACACTGTTTTCAAATTCACTTCGTAGAGAAACTCGGAAGCAATCAACGGCAGAGTTGGAGAGATTTGATGGCACTGGTTCAAGTCGCAGTGTATGTGTAATGGTAACGAAATACTAAGTTGGTCGCAGGCTTTTATCTGTCCAACTATGGTTTAGGCTCGATTTCGTTGCTGTTTCTGGCGAGTACTGTGACCCAAGTATGTTTAACACATTCGACATAATGTATCACATATCAAGAGCTGTTCGGAATGTGACGAGGTGTGCACTCCCGCATACCTGATTTGTTAGTGGTTTCCTCAAATTGGTATACCTCACTAAGAAGAAGATTGATCGGATTTTGTGACTTCCAGCATGTGAGAGTAGTGGGTAGCCACCATTACGAACGGAATGGATGCTACTTTTCCTGCAATTCAAATGTGGTACCGTCTGTAAATGCCCGTTAAGTTATGATGTTATTATTTTTGATGTTTTAACTACTAACTGTGCGTAAACATCCGCGGTATCTGTTCACGGAGACAAAAGCCATGTTTACTTAGAGACGAGCGCTTCTGCTGCTGTGAAACGACTGGTACGACATCACCTATGTTGTATGTGGAACGCAATCGCAGATGTTTGCAAGCTTCTTTTGGGTATCAGACCAACCGGGGCTGAAATGCTAGTTGGACGGTATCCTCTTGCTTCTTCCTTCAATAGGATTCCCCTGTAACATTAGCCACAAATGGTGCCAAAGAAAACCTCAAGAAAAGTCTTCAGGTATGTTCGCGGTGACCAGAAGAGATAATGTTCATAATCGCTGTAGCATTGGTTTCTGATTTGATAAGGAATACGGGTGGTCATTAGTCGGATGAAATGATATACACTGCTACTGTACAGGTCTGGCTGGGGCGATTTCAGCACGACTACCTCAGTGTTCTGTGCTCGATGTAGTCTCATGAGCCACTTTATAATCATGTATGCAGAAGAGGTTGCAGTTTACACCCATAAAGAAAGTTACCAGTTACATCTTACGAAGGGATAACATGTGACCTCCGATGTTTGAGCAGGTTAACATTATTAATACACCTAATAAAAAGGAAGGAGTATTTCAAACATAACCTCACTCCTAGACTATGGACATACCGTAGCCAGTTTTTTCACCTCCGCGTCGGTGGTACCCAAAGAAGCAAGACCAAGTTCGTGCGAGAATTGGGCGAACGCCGGATCGGCTAGCATTGGAACGTGACCGAGAAGTTCGTGGCAGCAATCGCTGAAACGAGGTGAGCATGACAGTAGACTAGTCAACAAACGATGCATTAGCATTAAAGACCACTGTACCAATAGCAAGTAGGATTTTAAAAAATGACCAGAGCAGTCTGTGTATTATTGGAAACTGTTTTTCTTTCCTTTTGATTACAAATCTACAGTGCATAGCTATCGAGTCAGAGGGTACGAATAAACGAAACTTAATGAGGAACAGAGTACAGTAACAAATTAGAAGGATAGTGGTAGGCATTTGATATGCTCACCAGATTCGTCAACTTGATTTCTAAAGGTGAGAAACGGGTAAGGCCTATACTAGGAAGTCGCAGTCTTGGCAATAAAGGATAAGTCATTTTCATCTCTTAGCTGACATAAAGTGCCGGGATAAGCCATCTCAGTGTTATGCGAACTAGACTCCAACCCTGTAGGTGGCAGCACAAAAGTAAAAAGCGTCAGTATTCTGTACATCTGATCCGACATGGCCAGGTTACTTAAACCGCTGATGTCCGAGACTTCTGCCATAAATCAGGGGAAAGCCGTTAAAGAACTGAGTCCTGCGGTATTAGTATACGTAACAGTCCAAAGTGCCCTTTATACAGCAGCAAACATTGCTTCTAATAGTGTTCGTCTAAAACATATCACTCTACCGGCAATTTCGTACTCGTTTTAACCTATCCAGTAGGGATAATCTGAGCAAGTGGCTTCACCCAACGAACAATGAACAATGATTTATCACGGGATAAAAGCAAGTGCTTGACACGTCCCGGAGGATGGTTGAGGTGAATATGATGAAATCAAAATATGTCTGGGTCATCTATCGGACGTCTGCCGAGATGAATAGTTTGATAATTAACATCAGTGTAAAATTAAAATAAATTATCGAGCGTAAACGTTCAGAAAGACACTAGGGTGCAGTGATCATTGAGGTAAAGAGTGAGAAAAGTAAAATATAGTCGCTCACTTAGGTCCATTTGATACATAAATCCTGTTGAAATGCATCCTTGACGTAATCCACAGTAGGGGAGTTTAGGTAACAAAATGTTGGGAGCTAAGAGCAACATCTAATTGTTTTTTGAACACATCCAAGGTAGCAGAGCATACAACTGAGTCTGAGAGTGCGCTCCAAGGTTTGCAAACACGAAGGGAAAAGTAATTCCGTCGACACTCTAGACGGCTGTATTGTTCTTTCAACTTTAAGCAGTTACCCCTGAACTGCGTGTTGTGGCTAAGTTTCAGCAAATGGCGACATACGTGGTTGGGGTCACTCAATATTTGATACGCTAATATGTGATCACCGCGCAGTCTTCGATAGCGCCAGCTGAAAATTCCCAGCAACTTCAGCCTTCGGTGGTAAGAGTGATAGCGCAGGCCCTTTACATTTTTTGTTGCTCTCCGTTGTGGTGCCTCTATCGCTTCTAGGTCACGCTTCAACCAAGGTTGCCAAGTTTGGATAGCGTATTCAACATGCGGGCGCACGTAGGAATTGTGCATCATTGGGAAGATTGATGGGTCAAATCTCCCTAATTCTTTTTCGCAGCATGCCGACATGCTGGTTGCCTCTTTTCGCAGCTACCTCCGCCTGTTCTGAACAGTTGAGGTCGCTCTGTACGATCACACCCAGGTCTCGTTCCTGGGAGCAATTCTGCAGTCCGTTGGTCCAAAGTGAATAGGTGTAGTTATGACTATGGCGTAATTGTACGACGCGACATTTGTCTACATTGAACGGTAGGGCGTTTTAAAGTGACCAGTTCGACACTGCGTTAAGATCGCACTGGAGGCGTTCATGGTCTTCCGGTCCTCTGATCCTTCGCCATATCTTGATATCATCAGCGAAAAATAGGAAATCGGAAGTAATTGATCTCGCCAAATCGGTAATGAACATCAAGAATAGACGACGTCCAAGAACCGAGCCTTGTGGTACTCCGCAAGCCACAACGATTGCATCAGACAATGATTCTCGGACTCTCACTACTAGCCGTCGTTCTTGTAGAAAATTTCAATCCAACTCAGGATTGGGTCGCCAATGCCGTAATTCCGAAGCTTCTGGAGGAGAATGCGATGGTCTAACCAATCAAAAGCTTTTGAAAGTCTAGGTAGATGACATCGACCCCTACTCCATCATCAACAGCTTCAGTCCAGTTATTACGTGCAATTAATAGGTTAGTATTACACGAATGCTTTTGACGAAAGCCATGTTGCTCTGGGGCTTTTAAATTGTGGCTTTCCAGGTATTCCATCAGCGCATCTGCGATGATTAATTCCATCAATTTGGATAGTACTGGAAGTAGTGTTATTGGACGGTAGTTGGCAGGATCAGTGCGGCTACCTCCTTTATGAATAGGAGTGAAGACCCCTCGCTTCCATACTGGTGGAATACGGTTCTCCTCTAGACATCGTTGCTAGAAAATAGCCAGTGGTGCTGCTAGATCACTACCTACTGCCTGTAGAGCCTATGGTCGGATGTTGTCAGCTCCGGGAGAACTGTGGATACGCAAGCATAACAACTTCTTCAACATAGCTTCCGCAGTGAAGGTTATGTTTTCCAAACCAGGTGGTGGAGTAGTAGAAATGAGGAGAGTGTTTGTGCTCGATTGGACGTCGCACTGAGCCCCCTGCGCTATGTTTTATGAACGAAAACGCTTGTATATATTTAGGCTGACCAGCCTCTTTGGATTTATACCCCAAATTCACGGTCGTAAATCTGTGCGAACCGGTGAGTACTCCATTTTTATTTGCTACCATCACCAACGATAATAATTTCTTAGCCAGTTTTGCGTCGTACCACTTTACCCCCCCAAAACTGTTATACTTCTACCTTTTATCTCGCTGACGCTCCTTACTTCAACCACTTATGTGGTTTGCCAATCTGTTAGTATTTCTGTTGCCAACCTGCGGGACTCGTTAAGTGTATGCTTTTTTACCCGTCATATACCATTGTTCCATTGGAAAGTTCGGGAGTAATGAAGCCGTAGGAGATCAGCTGCTTCCATTGCTGATCGCGTGCACCCATCAGCCGTGACTAGTGCTGGAACCCCTCGCTTTACCTTTCGAAGGCCGTTAACGTGCCTGTACAGAAGTTTGCGATTCGTGCAGAATCGCTTCATTAACTTCTGCTGATGAGTGACCTTGTCTTCGCGGATCAGTTTCACACAGAAGTTACGATGTATCACGTATGCAGTCCAGGTTTCGGCTTTCGGGCAGTCCTGGTGATCTCGCCATGCCAAATCCCTCCGGGACATACATTTACGTGTCCTGCTCCTCAGAAATGAATTACGCTTGTTTTTAGGTTGGAAGGACTTCTGCTCTGATGCGTGCGCTACCAGTGTACTAAACATCCTTGTAAATGTTTCCCAGGCAACAGCAGGGGGCATTCGGTCAAGAAAGTCCAAGATGTATCCTTAACAAGCTTAGACAACACATTGTAGTGCGTGACAGTATGCACTTTATCCTCCTCCTTTTCGGGATACTCCGCATAGCAAATATAGTCAAAGAGTAGAGTGACATGATCACTACGACCCAGTGATGTGCTTGTAACTATCCCGCTAATCATGAGTTCTTCGTTAGTGAGCACAAGATCCAGTATCGACGGCTTGTTAGAAGTTCGAAATCTGGTGGGAGAGGTTACGTGGTTGTAAAGTGGGTGGCTAGCAATTAGCTCTTGCAAGCAGGCTTTAAACTGCGTACCATCGGTTGCCGGCGTTTCTATGTCATGCACGTTCAAGTCTCCAGCGATAAGAATGTGGGTGTAGGACTTGTTCAAAGCCAACTGGAAAACGTGGTTCATTTTGGAGTCCATTTCCGAGGTTGAGTTTGGTGGGCGCTAAATCACGGCTAGTAGACATGTGTCCTTGTTTCGCAACCAAAGGCGGCACCAAAGGGAATCTGGAGCTTGGATTTCCGGGTGATCGATAACTTCACATCGGAGGTTTGTATTATAATAAAGAATCACACCACCCCCTTCCGGTTCTATTGGTCCAAAGCAGTGGCATACCGGGTAAATTGATCTCAGAATCGGTTATCTCAGGGTTTAACCATGTCTCTGTAATCATGACGAGGTCCCGAGGTTGTGAGGCATGGAGTTCTCTAAGTTCGGCCAACTTGCTTAGAAGGCCTTGGGCGTTTGTATACATGCAAGATAGGGCTTTTGTCGTTAGGAGTTCATTGATAGATGTCAAGTTTGTGTTCGCTTTTAAGCCGGCCGTTAGATGGCCGGCAATTAATCGTTTTATGGTTTATGGATTTCACTCGTGTTGCATGGCATTATTAAGCGTTCCTGAACAGAAGTTTCACTGGTGCTGTGCTCGGTCCTCCTGTGTGCCGTGGGCGCTGTTGTGTCGGGATCTCCACAGGACCGTGCAATTAAAGAATTTGTTACATTTGCAAGTTCCATTGAATTGCTTCCGACTTTTGGTCGTTCGCCTGCTGCTTTTAGCCGGATCTCTGTTGGCAGCCTAGCTCTAAACTTTAACCAGCTATCCAACAGAACTTGCGTCATTCACTCGGAGTGTAGTATTACTTTAATTAGCCTTGGACCGCAGCCCTTCTAGTTAGGTGATGACGGAACTCATGTCAGGGATTTGGCAATAACCTTGTCTACAGAGAGTGCTTCGCGGATGTAGCACCACTGCTCTCGGTCATGAGTTTGTGCATCGTGATCAGAAGAATGCAGAAGCTCAGGGACACCATGAACAAATATTGTTTTCTTGCTACCTCTATTAGCAATGCCGCGTCGGTCAACTGCTTCTTTTGGGCGATCTTTCCAAGGTAGATCAGGTAATATGCGCACTCCGCTCGGTGAGTTGCGAAGACGAACTGCTGAGAGCAGGACAGCCTCTGTCTCATCTGCTGAGTCTAGTGTTACTCGAAGAATTCGAAGTTCACCAGAGTGCACTGAGGTCCGGTGACGCGCTACGCGTTGCAGCATCGCAGGCTCAACCCGAATGTTAATTGCCTCGCAGATGGAACTCCACTGGTTACGATCGTCTTGCAACTTGCCTTTTATTGTTC